TATGTATTCTTGAACCGGTTTTGGGATGCAGATATACTTAGCAGCCTTGAAGACTAGATATATTTTTTGACCTGAAGGTAACATTCGATTCTAGCATCTAAGATTTCATATGGTAGTATATGACTTCGAATGGAGTGTCCAGTAAGTATGTTATGCTACCCAAAACACTCTAATCCATCTCTCACAGCTGTGTTAGGACTTATGGAGGACTTTCATCTCATGTAATGACAACCACTGGTATCCACCAACGATGTCTACTCTTACTATTCCAATTTAACTTTGCTATAAATATTTTAATAAGCAAAGCCCCTTTAAAATTAAAAGTGTACTAGTAATTTCTGGAGAGTATCAACCTGACCTATGTTACTCTGACGAAATAGCCCTGAAAGATGAAGAAGTTGACAGAATCCAGCCTTCTGAATAACATGGACAGAAATCTGAGTAGGTTTCGCAGGTGTTTTGAACCTTTCCAATACATGACTGTGTTTCGGGAGTCTGTAAAAGCCCTTGGTTTAAGGAGTGCTATAAAGCGTTGACTACATCACTTACTTCGCAAGTTAAGTCAACCTGAATGGGCTGGTTGCTGGTAAAAATCAGCTATAATTCAAAAAGGATGTGTGGTATTTGTCTGCGTCCATTACTTATGGTGCTAGTAAAGTGTTTGACTAACTATCAAAGGATGAGTATACTGTGCAGTAGTCCGTTTCGTTAGACGAAAGTTTAGGATGCACTTCTGTTGAATGAAGAAGGTACAAGAAGCCTATAGTTTCTTCTGCAGATCTTTTGTGGTATCATTTACTTGTGGTTGCATCACTGAGCAATATCAAGTTTAAGCACAGAATAGTATGCAGAAAGATAAATCACTCAGTGAAGTCCCCAGCATTCATCTACTCTAGTGGCTTGGACATATCTTGAGTACGTCTAGGCACCAGATATATCGAAGTAAGTTGAAGTAATAACGGGTTGAAAGAAGACTAAAGGCAGTCAATTCAAGACACGGTACTCGTAAATGAAGTCTTTGACCACAGTAATGAGCCATTTAGGAAGAAGCAAGCTTCCCGGTTAATACTTTTGAGGTGTTACAAACTGAAGATTGAAGACTCATGCCGATATGTCTCAAAAGGTAATCCAATGGCCCAGATACTTGCAATTTTTGTTATCTTGTAAGTTTTGAACATTTTAATTAAACTTCATCTATCTATGCTCTCCCCTCTCATACACTTTAGTGAAATTTTATGTCTCCCCTTTCCTATCCACCATCTCTTGGCATGCTATCATGAATAGTTACAACTTGAACTCATGAATATTTGTGTCAGATGCCAATATGATATACCTGAATTGAAGATTTCATATTAAATTGAGTAGAATAGGATCATACAATAGATTCTTCTGAATTTATCTAAATATCTAGTTATTAACGTGCTTACACAATTGTAAATTTGCGAACATAAGACACTTTCGCACTAATAAACAATCATCATATATGTTAAGTGACCATTGATTATGTGAAAGTGTACGGTGACATTAAGTGTGGCTCGGTCTAGAGTATTTTTTAGCAAACACTAATCAAAATTATAGTCGGCTCTTGTGAATCAGTAGCTTAATGAAAAACGCTCTACCTTTTGAAACGACGAGTCCAAAACTTAAATCTTTAGTAAGAACAACATCATTTACTTGAGTACAGGTATATTAAAATGATAAATCCTAAGCAGGATGAAAAATACATCCTTTATTCCACTGGAAACAATGACTTATCAAAGGATAACATAATTAAGACAATTTATCTACATTAAGCTATCAATTATTTAGTCTAGAAATTTGGGAGAAAGTACTCAATATCTTTCACCCTGTAACAATACAGTAAAGTTGTCACTTACTACAATTAAACACTTTTAGAAACTTTCAGTTCATATAGAAATTATCGTACAGTTTTGAAACCTTTTCTCTTTGTTTAAAATCAACTATCGTCCTTTTACAGAAATGGTTTATTTAGTACAGATAAAAAAATTTTTTTTAATGATTCTACTGTTATTTTGTTTCATGATGATTTTTTCTTTCATCAGTTGACACATAATTGAATAAATTTGATTTTATTTTCTGAGTTACTCAAAAGTAAAGTGAAAATGTTAAATAGACTGACAGGCAAGCATACAGATGAATAAACAATAGCCAAGGGATTGATTATATCTCTCATACACATAAAGTCTATTCATTTCGACTTATATAAAGTTGCAATGATTATTGTCTTATATGAAAATGTTTCTTCTATTTCATGAAATTGCATTACTAAATGCATAATGTTTGCTTTAATAGGTTAAAAAAAAGCAAAACTCTAAAGCAGATTTAATTCATTTGAATATTTATTAGAACTTCGAAACAATATGTAGTTAGAGATTTCGCTATATTGTTAATCCACTACACTCAGATGAAGCATTCACTGTGGTTCCTACTTCTTGAATACCTAAACTTTCAGTTAAACCTTACATACAAGAAGTGATAGAACACGTAGTGGAGGTAGGAGTTCAAACTATGTGATTAAGGACTATTGTCAAGTGGATAGGAAGTATAAAAACTGTCCACTTCTAGACGGGTACTGCACACCAATGGATTTCTATTGTTTCTATGGTTTTACTCTAATATTAATGATTCCTATGATTCTCTTTTGAGTCAGGTAAACAGCTTTTAGTCTTTATGGCAGATGGTTTGAATATGAATGAAGGCGATTACTTTGTTAACTCAGTAAAAAGATATTTAGAAGTCTTCACTAATTGCAACTACCATGCATTATCACTCTCCAATATAGCTTCATTCTCCTTGGTTCCTTGATATACCTTTCTTTATGACGAAAAGTCAGTCTAAAAGTGATACCTTTCAGTTTTCTTCGTGTAAAACGATTTTTTTCTATTTAAAGTACACAAACAACATTTAAAGTTTTCAAGAAAACTATGTTTCTCCGGTCATACACAGAAACTACATTTATTGCTTATAAAAGTTAAGATAGAAATGAATACAGTATGAAGAAAACAAATTCTATTCTATTGAAAAAAATACATACACAATCTACTTCTTCTACAGGTAAATTATCAGCGTTTCTCAGTAAACAGTGTACACTGATGTCAGTCCATAATGAATACTGCTTCGAAATTAAAAAATCCTCATTCATCTCAAAAATCCATTACTGTATAGTGCTCATTAATGACTTGCTTCCAGATGGATATCACAAAGGTCTAACGAGAAGTCGTGACCTGTGCGGTCAACCAGTCGTAAGTGAAGTAGATGCTAACTAAAGACCTTGGAAATTGTGAACCACTGGAAATCGACCCAGTGGCTGAACGGTTAACACGTTCGCCGTGAAACCTGAAGGTCCTGAGTTAGATCCATAGCCAGGTAGTGGGTGCCTACTGCTGAGGAGTCCCATACTGGGACGAAACAGCTGTCCATTCCTCCCAGGTTGTCAATAGTTCCCTAACTGATATCAGTCCATGATGAATACTACTTCAAAATTAAAAAATCCCCATTCATCTCAAAAATACATTAGTGTACACTATTATTATTTTGTAACTCAACTAACTAAAAATTGAACTGCAAGGCGATTAACCAAGAAACACAATTTGAACTGCAGTGAATAACGTGTTGTTTTAAGTGTAGACAGCGTAAATGATATCAAAGTAAAACATTTCAAAAAAAGATGGTTACTTTTTCGTTAGGAGATATTTAGTGAGGAACTCTGGACATATACTTCTTGCTTGTTGGTACTCATATGCGAGGCGTATTTGTAACCACATGAACCTAGTGTCCCACCGATTATTTAAGCTTCTATTGCTCAGTGACAAATTTACAGGACGTCCCAGTGAGCTCTTCAGATCAAAACTAATCACGTGTAGGACTGCTGTATCTACGCAAACCGTTCAAGTCATTGAGCCTCATTACTGATCAAGTTACTTAATACTAGATCATACTGGTTTGACTAGTGTGAAATCCAAAACATTTTGTCGAAACATTCCTCATGATAAAATTACTTCATGAAAGTTATAAATACTCATGACAATAAGCTGTTGAGAGTGTGCCTACCATGGAGCATGGAGGATTGGTTTTGTTGCTTACCGAATCCGTCGACAACTTATCATCCAATCAATACTATGTTTCTAATAGCAATATGCAGTTTTCGATTTCACGAGTGACTGCTGTTCAAAGCTAAACACCCTTATATCTCCACTGATAGGTTTCAAGCGATTTTCATGTGACTTTTCTTGCTTACAAACATTTCATAACTCATAGGATTCATACTGCTACACTTTAGCGAGTTAAACATAACCAACAGTGTACTTACACTGTAGTTTACCGAAGAAGATTCACTCAGACTTTATCACCGTTGACTTCTTACTCTGAACTCGTCTGTATTTACTACACAGTCATGCAAACCTTCTGTTTACTGCGAAAAAACTGTGTCTTAAAGAAAATTAAACTATTTCAAATTGTTATTCATCGTAGACTGACATCAGTTGAAGGAACAAAAAAACCTGGGAGCACTGGACAGCTGTTTCGTCCTAGTGTGTGACTCCCCAGCAGTGCGCACCCACGACCCCACATCAACAGGGATCAAACCCACGACCTTCAGGTTCCGTGACCAGCACGTTATCATTGAGCCACTGGGTCAGAATTTAATGCTCCATATTTCCAACTTCTGTTAGATCACGATATAGTACAACCACCATCCAATGTCATCGTTGAGTAACGCGCTAGCCGTGGAACCTAAAAGTCGCGGGTTCGATCCCTGGTGGTGCGGGGTCGTGGATGCGCGCTGCTGAGGAGTCCCATACTAGGACAAAACAGCTGTCCAGTGCTCCCAGGTTTCTTCTGTTCCTCCAACTGATGTCAGTCTACTATGAATAGGAACTTGAAATACTTCCAAATCCACACAACTCCCTCAAAATTCAAAATTAAACTAGGTTTGACTGATAATCATAATGTTAAAAGTGAAGTGATAAGTAATCACTTACCTTATGTTCAGATGTCCATGGATTTTCTTTCAACTGAGTTTCAATAGCTGGTTCTCTGAACACAATATAACGTCTACCAGGTAAGGATAAAATTTTATGGAATGTAAACTCAACACCTTCAGTGAAGTGAGAGTTTTTTAAATTGTTTGTTTCAATCACTTTATCCCAATGTATGGAATCAGTTAGTAGGAATCGATGATCACTTTCATATATATTACTATTATTATTATTATTTTTTATATCCATAAAACTAGCAGAATGCATTATAGTGTCATTATATGGAAACATCTGGTTTGGTACCAACTTGAATTGTTTAACTCTAATCGGGGAAAATATCCATTAGATGAAGAGGCTAAAGTTAAATAATCATCTAGGAAATAAAAACAAAAGTATATGTACATAAATATATCTGTTGTCAAAGTTTTATTAATTCAAATAATGAATATTTGTGCTGTTTGAAAAAACAATTCGAATTTTATGTTATCAAAAGCGTTTATATTCAACTTGTTCAAAAATAGCAGTAATATATCAGTGGAAATATGAAAACATTATACTCTCTATTATATTAGCCTATCAGATAAGAGAATGAAATTCTTGCTAATTAAGAGGAATAATTCATTCATTTACTGGTATAATATCGTGTAAATTGATGTTATGTTGAGCATTATTATTGTTATTTGTCCCTTGGGTTCCTAATGGAACATAGGGCTTCAGTAGCACGTCTTCAGTGCACTCTCTTCGCAGCAGTCTTTTGAACCTGGCTCCACCATAGCCCACAAGCTCCCTTTTCTTCTTCACACCATCTCCTCCATATCAACCTCACATCAGATGCCCAACTCGTCGTTTCCCCTGTGAACTCCACTCGAGGACCTGCCCTGACGCGTGATGTCCACAGTCAACCTTCTCAGTGTATGTCCAATCCATCTCCAATTTCTTCACTGTATATTTGTTGGGTGATAGGTTCTTGCTTCGTTGGTTCAATGCCAATCAGAGTTTCTTGTTGCTTATTCTTTCTGACCTTCACATCTAATCTTCAGTATCGAGCCAGCGTAGGCAGCTGTTGATGAACGTCTGAAGTTTGTTGGAAATGCCTTTCGTGACTCGACAAGTCTGTAAACCATATAGAGGCACTGACTTGACTGAATTGGTGTTGAAAATCCGGATCTTGTTCCACATGCTGAGTGCAGTAGATCTTCACACTGATTTCAGATTGGTGAAAGCCTATCATGCTGTGTTTCTGATCCTGGTTTTGACGTTCTTCTGTGTGCCACCACTGCCTGCATTTGGAAAAAGGCTGCTAGATAGGTGAAAGAGACTACTTTCTTTAAGTTTCTCACGTTGATGGTGAACGTAGAATGAATAAATAACACCGGAATACTAGTTAAACTTGATGAAAGAGATACACGCCACAGACTGCATTGTTAATTAAAAAGAAAACTTTAATGGGATGTCATTTCTCACGGTAATGAATTTAATCTCGACACTACCAAACAAGTGAATTAAATAAATGTTAAGCTGACTCCCTTACTTTCGATAATATTAACTGTACATCTACCACTAGCCATTTGTATGTAATGCTAAAGTAATGTTAATAATAATAACAATGATATCGTAACATGTGCCCAAACTTATTACCCAATTGTTTGATGGCATCATCTCTCTTGAAGTAATGAATGAGCATGCCACTTTAGGATGTAAAACTGACTCATTGCTTGAAGTAATAGAATATATACCAAAATCTTGATAGTTGAAGCGTGAGTGTTGATTTCTCACTTTAACCACAAAAACACGTAAATTACATCCTTAGTTTTGGCCAAGAAAAAAGCCTTGGAAAGATCTACAAAAACCAATTGTTTTCAGACTTTGAAGTGAATACTGATGTAAACAAGTGGCAGCCAATGCCTACCTAAGATAAATAACAAACTGTTTCATTTAGTCACTATTAATAAAAACAAAACTTTCAAGTGTTTCAGTATTTTGCTTTCCTTTTCAAAACATTTTTAACATACTGGAAGGGAAAATGAAATTGATGGAGAATATTAGTTTCAAATATTCATCTTATACTCCCCTTATTTGCTTTTATTGCTTACGGAAACATGAAACTAAAATTTTTGACAAATACTATTGAAAAACGTATATTCTCTGAATAGCAGGATAGCAAAATAAAAATTTATTTTTTTGTAATTGTTTAAATGAAAACCTGTATCATAATAACATTACCTTGAAATGTAAGGTGTTAAGTTGAATAAACAAAATTTCATAGGAAATTTATCTCTTTTCAGTAATATCAGTATTTTAAGTTCATCATTAATCTGTAAAATTGATTATACATGAATCAGTTCATCATTTGGAATAACGTTAAGGCAAAGCATTAACTTTATACATTCCATTATATTACAGTATTTTAAACATAAAACCCACTACTTTTAGAAATTTCCAGTTATATAAGGTTTAAGTGGTACAACTGAATAGGAATAGTTACTGATGCTGCTCATTAGCTTAAATTTATCCGCTCTTATTATTACCTATCTAACTAGTTCAAGCAATGGTCATTAATTTGAGCAAATGGTAAAAAGGAAAGTTATTCAAAGAAATAAATTCATGAGAGAGGATTAATGAAAGACAAGGAACTAACTAGAACTGAAAAAGCAAGATATTTGGTATTTATGGTTAAATGAATGGAACTAATAACAGTAATTGGTTATTAGTACGATAGCTTATTTCAACTAAACACCAATTTGTAATCCTTTTACATAACTATTGACAAAATTACGTTGCTTGCAGCATGTTATGTAGATCATCATCTGTTTACTTTATGAGATGGAGCTACATCATAGACTTTGTTAAATCTTTTGCTCACCTGCTGATATTTCAGATGTCTTTTGTCGACTCATATTATAAACAAGCATGTGTATCGAATCTTTTACTCATATGGTCCGAAATATTTGACTTATCTAACTTCTAAAAATTCCTATAACATTAGAAAAAACTAACAATCTGGGTGAAGAGTATTCTTTCCAATAAATTCTCATCACCTTTTACGGTCTTTTAATACATCTTGAAATGTATTTACCCTTAATTTGATTTTACACTGTACAAATTCACTTTATAATCACTGAACCTTATGAGAATTTATTGTGAAGAATATTCTTCGTTCAGACTGTATTGCTTTCTATCCGACTTTTTAATAATGTTTCAAGTTGTTATTCATCGTAGACTGACATCAGTTGGAGGAACAAAGGAAACCTGGGAGCACTGGACAGCTGTTTCGTCCTAGTGTGGGACTCTTCAGCAGTGCGCACCCATGACCCCACATCAACAGGGATCAAACCCATGACCTTCAGGTTCCATGGCTAGCACGTTACCATTGAGCCAGTGGGTCACAATCCAATCGTCCGTATTTTCAACTTCTGTTAGATCACGATATAGTGCAACCACCACTCACTGTCATCTTTGAGTAACTGTCCCCACTACCATCAGGCTTTGCCCCACCGGTCACGACTTCTCATTGGAACTTCGGGAATACCTCTCCAAGTTAGTCACCAATGAGCATCAGTTCAATTGAATTTCGAGGTAGTTGCGGGGATTTGGAAATATTTCAAGTTGTTATTCATCGTAGACTGACATTATAATAGTCTGTGCCAAACTAGATAACCATCAATTACACATCCGGAGTAAAATTCTACTCTCTACAAATTGTACTGATGTCTAAACATATTTCCGTCATTTATTTCCAAACGAAAATGAAAATTTGGTATTTTCTTTTAACTGTATTAAAATGGTTAATAAATCTAGGAATGAAAATTTGTGATAACATTGTTTCTATAAACTTTTAGTATGTTGTAATCATCAGCTATTTCACATATTTCATACTTGTTGGGAATACACAAAAACAAGGTAAATTATTGTGAGCATACACTATACAAAATGCGAAAGGGAAAATATATAGTGCATGCAGCAGCATCAAGCATATCAACTTATGTTTCTTTACACGATGCTTCAATAAAAATAGAAATTGAGTGCCAACGCATATGTCATCTAAACTTTTCTCTTCAGTGATCATTTCCTTTACTCACTTAGAGGTATTGTAACAACCAGCTAAGTGACGAATCAAAAACTTTCAAACTTAGATTAAACTTTCTAAGATATAAGAATGCTAGTACATTGATCAGAAAAGTCCCAAATGGGACGAAAAATACATCTTGAATTACACTGCTAGTCACTATTCGACCTTAATAAGCCTTTTAAGGTCTAAATAAGGTAGACAGTACTTCCAAAGAAAGCATACAGCAAAAGTCAGGTGAAATAATATTTTCAAAGTCAAATTATAGCACTTTGATTCACTAATAATTCTGTCCTGCATCTGCGAATATGTCAAACTTTTGGATCTAAATGTAGAATAAATACCAGTAACATGCACCCGAACCAATTAACGCATGAGAAGACTATCACTTCCAATGTTCAATCTAATTAGTAAAGCATTTACAAGATACGAAAGATACAATAGTTCTGAACAACAAATGTGTGGAATCTGATCAACAAAGACCACTTAGAAGCTTGAAAAATCCACTTAGATCATGTTTACCAGATGGCTAGAGTAAAATTATTGATAAAACTCCTGATGTAAGTAACATAAGACGGGAACATTTATCATATTTCATCTCATTGCATAATGCCAATGAGAGATTTAGTTATGTGATCTTTCAGTAGCTGAGTACATATCAACACTTTTGCATCATAAGTGAACCAATATGGTTAGTATGTGAAGTTAAGAAATCATTGACAGAGTAGACGATAGTAATTAGCCAATAAAGCAGTGTTTAATATTCTTCAGCACTAGTGAATGAAATCCATTAACATTCTTCTTGGGGTGAAAGTCGGGAAATTACTAGATTTGCTAGCCCAATCCTGTTTTCATTCAAATGCGTAATCATTAGATTTTACTAATGTATGGCTAGAAGCATTGCACTTAGATGCCACTAGTCAACAATGTTAATTATTCTATTCCCGTTTTGAATATATCACCAAAAATTGTTCACTAAGTTTCAGTAATCTAATAAGTGCAGTATACTTATCCTTTCAACATCCACCTGAAATGTCTTTCACTAAGCTGCAGACATCAAATTCCTTCTGCTTTTTGATGTTATCGATAAAATTCAAATTATATCACCGCTTGGGGGCACTGGTTTGAATCTGTTAGCAGATATTAGTTCCCTAGAAGTTACGGATATGCTTTGATAGCAAGTACCAACAATCATGAAGCTCAAGTATAAGGCTTCCTGACGATTTCCTCCAGTCACCTAAACTCACCAGGTTTGTCTTTGAAAATGAAACAAAAGTTAATATTGCTTAATTGTTTTCAACTTTCAGTCTTAACAGCATTTCACACATTTCACTGTGTTCATATAAAAATTGTTCTTATGTTTACGAAGAATTTTTCTGACTGTAAAATAAGAAATGTATACAGGATGAACAAAATCAACCAATTCTGAGTCACTGAATATCACCTAAACCACTCAACGACACAAAAAGATTTCGCTTTCAATACAGAAGTATGGTGCAGAGGATTCTACTGAAGAAGGTTGGAAAGCAAATGTCATAAATTCAACTTCACCAACAATCTTGCTAGCCATTTTTCGATTAACAGACTTGAATGCCTCTACAGTATCAAGGGTGTCCTATTTGCGAACTAACAGTTGATTCTAGCACTAAAATCACCTTACATATGTTCGGAAACTAACAGGCTTGCCTGATCTGTAAGTGATTCAAAACTTACAAAGATCAAGCTTCTCTGAGCATATCAAATTTTATTTTTTTTAATACATCTGCTCTTTCTAAACACTATCAGAATGATACACACAGACACTAAAAAGTCATACTCTCGTGCTCCTGCTGAGAATATAAGACATTTAAACTCTGGGTTAACCCCCTGGTCTTTGTGATCTGCCTATTTACCTCATTTTTACGAGTTTGACTCAGATATCGATATTGAAGAATACAAAAGAAGAAGACAAAGATGCTCTATCAGTGATTGTAACTTGAGAAGCGATTGGGTGGAGGAATCACCTCCAATGAAAATGACTTTGTTTAACCGCGATCAAACATTCTGACAACTGGTAGCTGCAAGAGTTTGCATTTGCAAGTTTTTAAGCCAAATAGAGGATTGGATATATGAATCTGTTTTACCTATATTTAAAGCACTCACTCATGAAGGCAAAGTGATTGATTAATCTAGTAGGCCAAAAGTTTTTCGGTGGTATGAAAAAATACCTAAAATAATTATCAATTTTTAATTGTTACAAAAGTTTAATAAAACTGTTCTTTTATAATCCAGAAGCAAAATTATGCCTCAATCTTACACTCTGTCCCTGAATATTTAAAAATTTTCTTCGCTGCTTTTTAATTTTATGAAGTCACGGTTTCACTGAAACACAGGAAAACAGTTCCATCAGCCGAAGTTTCTAGGTGATCTTTAAGCTCTTTAATCCGGCTACCATAAACCTAGTGATAATATTGCTGTCTCATAACCTAGCAGTAACTTCAAAGGAGTCTCACACAATTTACTTGGAAGAGACGTTATACATCCGGAAGCCTCAGATGAATACTCAAGTAGTTCAGTCAGTTGAAACTGGGAATTTTTGTAGAAGTACACATATTTGAGACACCAGAAGAGATCAGAATCACTTTATAACAATCCTCAAAAGTCTTAAAAGCCTAGACACAATAGTACTTTGATGTCTTATTTCATCTTGTATCATACCAACATAGCACATAGTAAACGGTAAACTCTGCTTTAAACATTAACTCTAAAAGATATTAACAGTAGTTATTTGAACTGCTCACTAGATTCGTTCAATAACTTCTCGAACTAGTCAAGACCTGCAGCTTAGTACACCTAATAATTATCTGACGGACTTCCGCTTAACTGTCACGGAACAGCTCTGTGATTGAAAGTTAATTGATTTTCTGAAATATGTTTATATTTAACTGCAGAAAATGTAGCACTAAGCACTAAAATAAGTTAATTGCATAGATTTTAACGGTGATCAGAGTGAAGGAAACAGTCTTCAGGAAAACGATGACGGAATTTCAGTTCTGAACCGTTCACAATATGATTCTGATGTTCTTTAGCAAATGAATTTAGATTAATGTTAAGTTAAAATACTCACTAAATTGATCACTATCTATTGCGACTGCATGAAACAAGTCATCCTTGAGTAAACGACATCATCACCTTCTTCTGATAATCTAGTCCTGTTGCAAGAACTTTGTGACTAAAGAATGAACCATAGTTATGCACGTCAGCATCACAACAAAGGATCTACGTGCTATCTGTTGCGGAATCGAAAATACTAATTGATAAGTAGAAAATATTTCATTTCGATGACGCAAAACACAAAGAAATATTTCTTGCTAATTCTACAACACAAAGTCTGAAGTTTGAGTAACATAATTACAGACCTTTTGTGTAATGAACAGGTGCTCAGCAGACTAAGTGGGCTTCAGCATTAACTGCCAATAGATGCCATGTTTCAAGAGATCAAACATGAAAACCTCAATGACACAATGACTAAAATATACAAAATATTAGCTTGAATACACATAAATATTGAACTGCGGGGTATAAATACTGACCTGAATATCTATAAGTTAAATCACCGTTTGAAAACTCATAAGAAGGTATGTTTTTATGAAGCGAAGTCCAAATCAGACCCTTTCTCACCAAAACAGTACACCGAATATTAATAGCAAACTTCCCACAAGTTTCGAAGATATTGGGCTTCAGCTGGATGACTGAATGAATAACAGAATCGCATCGACCTTTTTTAAAGCTGGGATCTGATTGAACCAGGTTCGTTGGCCATGTGATTTGATCACGAATAAAAGACTCATTGCCTAGGGAAATGACGATTATACTGACACTGAACATATCGATTAATGACGTCAAAAAGCAGGCCTACTTTGTGGCTAGAAAAATATGCTTTTCTTCACCTAAAATGAAGCAAAATCTTCCAATTTTAATTCGACTTTCTTGCAAAGTATGTTCTCTACTTTTCAAAATTTGTGCTGCGTCCGACATATAAGAAACTATTGTCAGAATGCCAACTAAATGGTATTCGTAAAGCATTCAGAATGTTTTGTGAAAAGAAACCTTCGCTTAGAATGAGCTTAACTGTGAAAAAACTTATATTTCTAGGATACCTAAAAATAACGGAAACAAATACTAATCTTTCAAATACGTGACTGTTTTCGCCGTGGAAAACATACCACTTTGGTACCACTTAACAAAACATATCGTATCCAATATCTGTTAAATGAGCATTTCTAATCCGAATGATTTCTTCTTGCTTGCTTCTCGGTCTTGTGGAACAGTCCCAGGTCTTTGGATGAATCCGAGGCAGAAGATTCACCTACTGCAATATCCAATATTGATAGTGCGAGCTTAGAAAACTGATAGATTTTTATCTCTCGCGTCTAGTTCTTAGGGCTTGGTTCGAGCTGTTCGGTTCACTCCTAAAGTGCACGAGGAAATCTCCTCCACTTTCTTGCCTTTAGCCTCGGTGAGGTGGATGTTTTGTGGGCTAGTAGGTTGTCATTTGTAGAGTGATTGGGGAGCAACGGGTTGCTGGGGAGGTTATGGGACTGTCGTGAATCCTGTCTGTGCAGATACCTGAAATAGAATAGTAGGGGAGGGAAAAGAATGAAGAATAAAAAATAAAATGAGGGAGGAGGAAAGGGGAAGAAAGAAAAAGAAAGGGAGTAGGTAAAGAAGAGAAGTAAAAGAGAGAGGAAAGTATGTGGGAACTGCCCGAATAGTAAAAACGGATGGTGTAGGTCTATTTCCTGAAAAATAATCATTGGGTAATGTGGGTGTATTGAAGGCGAGATAGTGAGTGGTGGGCAGGAGGGAGGTGGGGCTGGTGACTACCTGAGTACATACGTGGTAGACCATGCTAGGTGACAGACCGTCCAACCGTCTCTACAGCGAATTGACCAAGGGAGCTATAAAGACATGTTGCAGTAAGACGCTCGGCAAAGCACATACTCTCAGTGAGAAAAAATTGGACCTCAGTATGGTATTGGCCCCCTGGAGTGCTATCTTAATGGGGTTTCCTCGTGAAGACCTCTGTGTTGCGGGCAAAATTGATTTGTTTGAGTGGTCTGCCTGATGGGTGATCTCGTAGGCCGTAACAAGGTCACCCCTCTCCCTACGATAACCCAAGGTAGATAGGTGTAGGCATTTGAAGTCTTTCAGGACGTGTGTTTCCCCCTTAGTCTTACAACTGATTTTGTTGCGGTTCTTTGTACTTTTTCAAGGAGATTAGAGCCTCTCTTGAGTGTTGGGGAGAGCCTCTGTGTTGAAGACCCCTATATGCGGCCGCACGTAGGATCTGGAAACGGTAAGGAAGAGTTTGGGGGCGAAGGTGCCAAGCTGTCTACGCAGAAAGTGCAAAGTTGCTTTCGCCGTGGTCGTCACGCCGTTGTAGCTTAGGCTGGTGTTGAAGGTGTCGGAGAGGTTCAGCCACAAATCTTTCCCCACAGACATTTTGGTGATAGCACGGTTGCTCAACATGCACCAGTAGTCGGTCGTACTTGCTTCATATTTACTGATGTGCATTACTTTGCACTTTTCCAGGTTGAAGCTCAGGGTATTTTCCGACGACCAGATTTCGAGTTGCTGCAAGTCCTTTTGTAGTGCTGTACAGTCAGCTTCCTGGTTTACCGCCCTCCAAATTTTAATGTCGTCAACGAACAGGTGGATGGGTGAGGAGATTTCGTCTGGCAGATCGTTGACAAACAGGAGGAACAGAAGTGGTCCCAGGATTGCTCCTCGAGATATTTCTGACGTCGATGGTCTCCACCCCGATCTTATTCTGCTCACTATGGTGCAGAACTGCCACCTTCCAGGTATTCCCTGAACCAAAGGTTCGGGGATTCACTTGTATTGGCTGACATGATCTTGTGAAGCAGGACTGTGGGTGGGACACTGTCAAATGCTTTGGCCAGCTCCAGAGAAACAACATGTACTGGTTCTCTGCTATCCCAGTTGAGTGTCCAGTCGTCCCAAGTGGTTAGTAAGTTGGTGGCACATGAGGGACCACTCCGAAATCCATGCTGACCAGTATGCGCTGTCTTCCATATTGGGGAGCTCCCAGATAATGTCGGATACCAGGCTTTCCAACACCTTCAACGCAATGGGGAGTAGAGCAAATGGCCTGTAGCTGCCGGGGATCCTTCTGTCCCACGCTTGAAGATGGGTGGCAAGGTGGCGCTCTTCAATTCTTTAGGGAGTTCGCACGATTCCACCGAGTGCTTGAAGAGCTTACAGATTGACTTTGCAAGCGTCTCGGTGCAGTTTTTTAGGATCACTGGTTTTAGGTTATTGCAGCCAGAGGACTTTCCTGGACGTAGTTTAGACAGTTTCTCTAACACTTTTTTCTCTGTGGTTGAGATGTGGCACAGGTATCCGTTATTTATGACCTGGTCGGTGTCGCAACGAGTCGGTGTGGATTTCGTGTCGGCACTTAGTTGGGCTTGGAAGCGTGAGCTCAAATGCTTGGGTATCTCCCGACTGATTAGTATACTCCCATCCTGACCTTTGATGAGTCTCACCCCCTTGCTCTTCGACTTCCTTCTCGATACGAAGCGGTTTAGTCTTTTGGGATTGCCTTGCAGCCTCCTCGCTAAATTTGTTTGGTAAGAGAATCCATCGCTGCCCACTGTAATGCTGCAGTGGTTGCTAATCCTTTCGCAGTTCAAAAAGTCAGACTTCCTGCTTGATGAACGCCACTTGAATCGATTCTGATTTTTGCTCTGGACGAGCTTCTCTGTCCGACGGTTTATCCATTAGGTCCTCACTGACAGCCCATGTGTTACCCCTCGTATTTTGTTACTGATGGCCCGAGGGATTATTTCTTTCACCTGTAACTAGTGTTCATCTGTTGTGAGATGGGTCCAGTCTACTGGCCATGGTGCATTCATGAGATAGTCCTTCATGGTCTCGCAGTTGGCCCTGCTGTAGCAAATAAAGGTGTTGGGCGTCTCCAGTTTCGGGGCCTCCCTAGTAATCATTGAGAAGGTTATTATTGCGTGGTCACTGAGGTCAAGGGGAGGTTGGATTCATGCATCCTCAATAACAAGTTTATCGTTCGTCAGACAGTAGTCAAGGCGCGACGCATTTCCGTTAGGTCCCCTGAGTGCGATTTCACCAACCTTCTCTGAGAGGCCAGCAGTCTTGAAGAATCCGATGTGTCTTCGCTCCAGCTCAAAGAGGATGGACAAGGGTTTGAAGTCGCCGGCAATGCTTACACACTCGTAGTTTGCAGAGGAAGTCGTTAGGATTCCCTTTATTACCGCTTCCTTATGTGTAGGGGAGCTGGTGAGGGGCCGATATATGACTTCGAGCAGGTGTCTGGTATGGTGGAGAGCGAAGTAGCACCAGAGAGCATCTGGGAACTTGATTAGGGCGGTATTCTTGGCCACCCATGCCATTAAACAAGAGCTTACGCAGATAGCCACTCCCCCTCCTGCTCTGAGCCCTCTGTCCCTGGGGAAGAGTTCTGCGCCAGTGGCATTCATCACTTCGTCGGGTATATCTGGCGAGACCTGAGATTCGGCGGTAAATATGATGCCAGAGTGCTGACGTTCATGCGGCATCCCCATCCCTGCTACGTTCCCTCCGAGCACCCTAACGTTAATGTACATACATGTTACAGTGTGCTCAGTGAGAAATAAGGGCTGGTTGTGTAGTTTCGTGAAAGAACCGCTTACGTCGTTGGGTCAAGCTTCGCTAGTCCCCATAGCCCTGGCACAGTTCCGTTTGTTATGTTTCATGATCATCTTGAGTGGGGGCTGTGGCAGCGGGAGCCTTTTTACTCAATGTATCTGACTCATTGGTCAATGCCTATGTGACAATCACTGGCTACAGGGGCCTTGGTGGTTGCCGTATCTCTTCTTGCCTCGTGAGTCTGTGCTTACCTTCACACACGCGTGTTGGGCCATCAAAGCCATATTTCTTATTATACCATGCATGCAGAACGTCCGTGAGGGGGACACATGGGCCGAATTGGATGGCGAGCAGTCTGGGAGTGGGTATGGACTTCAGGTGCGCTGGCCTCGGCAGTCTACTGACGTCGCTGGCTGGTATACTGTCAAGACAGACTTCGTTTGAGACTCACTGTCATTGTTGGACGTCGCGCAAACACCGATCTATAGCCGAGCAGTCACTGGGCTGTTCTGGAATCCCATGTACAACTATAGTGTTGTTTCTGTTTGGTTTTCGAACAGCTGATTTTCATTCCTGTCTTACTGACAGTGGCTTGTCGGGCCCGGCCCTAATTTCGCGGGTATTAACAACGTCCGGTTGTCGCGAGAGAAGGAAAGTGACCTCGGCCCCCTTGGCAGTGTTCAAGAGCACTCGTTAGGGCGTGGCTTACCTTGGGGTGCCCGATTTCCACGAGAGGGGTGACATGGTGTTACAGAAAGAGGAGGGAGTCCCAGCATCTAACAGTAGTCGATCCACATTTGGTTTGCATACCGTCCTCTATCGTTTGACAACGAGCCTGTCGATATATCGAGGTCGAACAAGATGATCGAGTTAGACCTCCTATGACTCGTGTTTGTTGTGGGTGGCAGGCCCGACATCCCAATGTGTTCGGTGTGTATTCCTACTGGTTGTTTACCAGTCACAGTGTATGTGATGTCTGTGGTGGGCTTCGTAGAGGGTCTTCAGCCACGTGCTTGACATTCTAGTAAGCCGGATAGGATGTACAAAGACTCCACCTAATATGGTCCCGGCGCGTAGTGGCATGCCCACAGCCGGAGATCTAGTTCTATTTCCAGCTCTCTGCGTTTTCGTTTAATGTTAACCCTACTATACCCGAGGACGTTGGTAGCTTTTTCACGGCGGAGAGCATCTCTTTCAGGCTTTCCATTTCAAGTTCCGATAGCTTCTTGCACTCTAGACAAATGTACCAGAACCATCTGCATGGCTGTCTCTTCATCAGCTTGTAGCATTGTCGGGGTGCTTTGGTGTCGCATTGGCAATGCGCCTACCGGTGACATGGGTTGCAAACAAACGCTTCATCAACCACCAAGACAATTTTAATGCGAACACTGCAGCCATTG